TGGCCCAGTGGAGTGATGTTGCCAAGGACTTTTTCTACTTCTCTATGGAGATAATTGCTGACAGATACATTGGCCGTTGGTGATAATTGCAGTCAGGTACATCTAGGAAAGTGATGGTAGAACTGCCATTTCCTCAAAATGGACTTTCTTTTTTTTTTTTTTGAACGAAATTGAAAGCGAGTTTTTTGGCCGAAAAACAGGTCCAAATTTGCTGCTCTTCAGGGTCCGGGGTTCCTTCTTTTTCTTTTTGGGTAGGCAGGCAAGTGGCATTTAGGAGGTCGTGGTTTCATTCAATCCCGTCTGACCACCTGCATCTTGCTGCCTCCTTTCGGTTTAGGGTTTAGGGTCTTTGGCCATCATGGGTTTGTGTGGCCGGGTGGGTGTGCTACTGTGTGTGTGGGTTGTGTGTGGTGTGACACTGTGCGTGTGTGTTGTGTGTGGTGTGACAGTGTGTGTGTGGGTTGTGTGTGGTGTGACATTGTGTGTGTGGGTTGTGTGTGGTGTGACACTGTGTGTGTGGGTTGTGTGTGGTGTGACACTTTGTGTGTGGGTTGTGTGGGACAGTAGTGAAAATAGAGACTGCGATGACTAGCTGGGGCCCAGGGAAGTAGATGGGAGGCACAGCTACTGGAAGTATTGCATTGTTCACACATGCACAGCAAAACATGTGAGCAAGACATGCAAGAATCCGCGGAAATCATCCCATAGCTAAAGAAGAAGAAAAGAAGGAAAGAGGGGAAACGAAGGAAGACGAAGAAATTTGAAAGAAGAAGAATCGACAGAACGGCGACCATAAAAAAAGAGAACAGACACAACATTATAGGTCAAGCGGAGAGGTGTCGTGGGGCGCAGCGCTACCGGGAGCGCTGCGCCCCACCCGGACTGAAGCAACAGAGAGCGTGTGATGCGCAACCTCACGCCCCGTCGCGGCTTTCCGTACTGGGTCGCCGATCAGAGTAGAAGGGGGCGTGGCCGAGGATTTTCGGCCATGGCGGTTGAGTCTCCCGGTAGGAATGGGAGTCTCTCGTTTCGGGGCCGATAGGTTTCCCCTGACTGGGGCTCGATCCTTGGTCAGGATTACCAAAAACAAAGGGGGAGGAGAACGGGGTGAACGGACGGGTCCGACCCGGTTTCTCTAGCTGGGGAAAAAGGAGAGGGACGGAGGACCTATTCCTCGCTGGGCCTGTTCGGCAAGGGGCGATGGATTCTCAATCCTCGTCTTCGGGTTCGTCGAGGCCTCGGGGACTCACGACCGTGGGAACTCGGCGGGCGGGGGCTGTCGCCGCAGTCGAGGTACGGAAACGGGCAGGGAGAGCTCCGGCGTCCCGGGATAGTTCAGGGAACTGGGCGGCTCCTTCGTACCCCAGAACCAGCCTTCGCCACGAGCAGAAGTCCCCCTGCTGGCACCAACGGCAACCAAACTGGGGCGCCACGCGGTGCAAGCCACAGACCAGGGGAGCACTGCCAGGTCGGTGTAAGGCAGTATAAGGGGCGGGGAAGAAAAGCGGTCTATCAGCACAAACCCTTCCCCCGCGATGTGGCAAGTCCGTTAAGGCACTCCGTACGTCAGTGTCGCAGTAGACGCTGTCGTCGTCGACGATGGGGAAAATAGGGTGTGCACTGCGATGCGCGGAGTCAGGGTAAGTGCACGGGCGAGAACTCGTGCTTGATTGGAAATCCGTCTCCATACAAAGAGTGACAACGTCTCTCTCTCTCTCTCGGGTCTGACACCACTCAACCAGAGGGGTCCGAGCGGAGGGGCGGAGCCGTTTGCTGACCACCTTCAGCGGGCACAGCGAACGTCTCCGGTCCTCAACAGCGATGCGCCACGTCAGACGTCGGCGCCGCGGGACTCCGACTCGAGCGCGCAGGACGGGAGGGATCCCTTCGGTACGCGAAGGCCCTCGCCCTACGCGATCGAGCAACGGAACTAATAGGGGAACGAGGCAAAAAGGAAAAAGAGGTACAATGGCCGACTTAATCATGCATCCAGGCAGACAATCGCCACACAATACCCAAGGACCACATACATGCATACGCAGACTCACACCCCTTCACAGACCATCTCACCGCGACTCACTCCCATGCATACAACCGATTACCCACTCGACGGGACGTTGCGTACATCTCACGGAGACAGAGCAGCAATGGAGATAAAAAAAAGCGAGTTTCATTGTACACAAAATTTTCCAATTGGCTGACGCCCTCAGGCGCAGCCGCAAACTTCCCAAGGACCACCGACCACCATAGCCACAACACCCTGTCGTGATCGGCGTCCGATCTCCACCACTGCTCAATCCCTCCAGTTGGCTTACCCCGAGTCTATCGCTAAGCCCGACCCACGTCGTCACTCCGCCCGTAACTTGGGCTCGTCAAGCCTGTTTGGCGGCGTGGAAGTTCGCGCATAGCTCGCGCAGCATTGCAGCCGAGATCAAAGAGGAGGAGAGGAGGCGGTTGCGAAAATTTATAGCGTGGGAGGCGGCGGGTTGTCAGCGCGAGGTGCAGACCGCGCCGGTTGTAGACGAGCAGGACACAAGAAGGGTGCAGGGTTTCGGAAGAGGTGTTCCGCGGAGTCGCGTGGTCGGGCGTGATTGGGGTGTTCGTTCAAGTGGTGCGCCTTTTCGCCTTCCACATTGATCCGCGCATCCCAACTACGCAGCCATTCACTCCCGGAGGAAGACGGGGTGGGGATCGAGCTGGGCGTAGGGGAAGACAAAGAGTCCTGCATGGAGGAAACGTGCGCAGCAAGAAAGGAAGATGGCGCGGGGATGCAAAGCAAGAAACGGGGGTGCGAGGCGCGCGCGCAAAAATTCAAAAAGTCCCAACCGAAACCGTTTCTTGGTTTTCATACCGCGGCCGCTATTCGTCTGCGCGGGAGTTATTAACCAAAGAAAAGTGAAAAAGCCGTTACAAAAAGAAAACAAAAGTAAAAAGAAAGAAAAACCCCTTTTTGTTCGCATCCGTACTTCGGGGCTTCCGGGGGATTTTTCCTCAAGGATACGGCAAGCCGCGAGGTACGGGTCTGAGCTTATCACATCTTTGATGGGCAGGGGGTTCCGAAAAATTAGGAGTCTCCCGACTGCTGATGTCATCATATTTTGGATGCTCGGGCGGCCTCTTCATCGTCGGCTCGGCCGATCATCTCCTAATCTGCTTCGATGCATTTCGCATCGTCGGTCATCTCCCTCATATTATACATCCAATCGGGCGCTGGCACGTTCACCTGCTGAATGTCGTATCGCAACTGCCTTTCCTCATTGAACAAATGCCGCAACAAGCGATCTGCAAGCGGCGTCTGGAAGTGCTCAAGGGGCTCGTGCTCCGGCTGGCGATGGTTCATCCTGCTCCTTGAGACTATCAGCACCAAGGGACGAGGCAGATCGGGAAGAGGAAGAAGACGAAGAAGGAGAGGAGGAGAGAGAGGACGAAGGCTCAGACGAGGCAAGAGCCGATTCGCGGCCCGGAGATGGCCGAAACAGTCGAAGAGCCGCCGCGTGTCTCGTAAGCGACCTGGCCTGCGTGCTATGCCGGGGGACCAGCTTCACGGAGTGCTGACCTCGTGCGCCAACTTCCATCACCTCGTAAATGTCAGTATAGCGTGGGTGGATCTTGGAGGAGCGCACGGATTTTCGTGCCTGCACCAAGTCCCTGATTTTATAACGGGGCATTGGTCCCGCTGTCGCGTGTCGGTTCTCATAGTCCCGGATCTGCCGTTGATGCGTCAGATCCACGGCCCTTTGTCGTCTTCGGGCTAACGCGGGATAGGTCCGGGCAATCAGATGCAGGTAATGCTGGGCCTTGTCCTTGTGTTGGGCCCGGGTCACTCTAACTTCCGTACCCACTAGAGGTGACAACTGCACTCTGGGAACGCTATTGGTTCTCAGTTGGAACGGGGACACCCCGGTGCTCCCGTGGGGAGTAGCCCGATAGACGGCCAAAATGTGGTCGACTATGACAGGCCAGGGTCTGGTATCACCTGCCGTGATATTCCGTCTAAGTGCAGTCTTGATCATTCGGTTGGCATTCTCTACGAGCCCATTGGCTTGAGGCCAGTGCCTTGGGGAGTACGAAATTCTAACGTCTGCCCTTACAAGATATCGCTCTACTTCCCCCTGGAACTCGGATCCATTGTCCATGTGCATCTCTTCTACGTCCAGGTGCATGCACAAAAAGCGATTAATGTACCAGGCTACTTCCTGTGAGTTCCGGCTGGTCATGGGATACGTTTCGATCCATTTCGAAAAATGATTTACGACTACAAGAAGAACATTAAGTTCTCCTTGATCAATAGGGCCTCTCGGCACGTTGATGTCCGTCATATCAATACTGACCCGTTGGAAGGGGCGCTCTAGCCCGGTAGGCACTATTGTACGGGGCATCTGTATCGGCGCCTTATCGGCCGCACAGGCCGGGCAAGTCCGGACGATGTATTTCACATCTTCCCGGATTCCTGACCAGTACCATTTGTTTTTCTCTATTGCTTTTTCTGTGTATTTGACTGCAAAGTGGACCGCATCCTCCTCGTGGGCAGCTCGTGTCCAATCGAACCTGGCCACCGTGGGTGTGGAACCGTCAGCCAACTGGATCCGTCGACGTCATCGTCTTTTCGTTTTTGAAGGATGGATCCCTGCCAGCGGTAATCGTGCGCCCGTTCCGTGACACGTCGCCGTTTAGCCTTGGTAAGTTCCGTTAGCGGGTTGCCTGTCAGTCGACGTAATAGCAAAAGATCCATCCAGACTTCCGCTCGGCGGACACTTGGCAAAAATCCGCCTGTCGTTCTGGCTTCTAGATACCGTTTTTCCGTAGGTACGTGGTCCGTTCGACAGTTGGGACAGTTCCAACTTTTCTCATTCCGATACCGGACACAACTCCCATGGGACCGGACGATGTGACATTGACTACATTGTACCCAGGGAAGAAAGCTAGGCCCCTCGAGAGGAGGATCTTCCCCGTCCGGTATTATGGGCAAGGTGCAGAAGAAACAAATTTGGGAAGGCGTGCTCGGAGGAGAGTCAGGATTAGGAGAGGGGGTTAAAGAATAGGGAAGGGGAGAAGGGGTGGCGGCCTCCTCAGGGAAGGTCGCCATCTCCGATTGCTGCAGTACCCTTGCGGAGGACATTCACTTCCCCGTAGCCGGGTCCCGTCGAAGGCGAAATCGGCTTCCACGGGATGAGCCTTTCGTTCGCGGGACTCTTGTTCGGCGGCTGGAGGCGCGTCAGACCGTCAGCGTTCCCATGCTGCCTGGTGGCGAGGTGGCGGATGTCGAAATCGTAGTCCTGCAATCTCACCATCCACGTTCCCAAGGTACCCGTGTAGTCCGTGTTGTTCCGCAACGACAGCAATGGCTGATGACCCGTCACGAGCACGAACTTCTGGCCGTACAGATACGATCGAAAGTGCTGAACCCCCCACACCACCGCCAAGCACTCACCCTTGCACGCCTCGTAGTTTGACTGCGCCTGGCTTAGCGTTTTCGATGCATACTCGATGACATGCTCCCTTCCATCCGTTCCTTGCTGAGTCAGCACCGTCGATATCGCCTGCGACTGCCAGTCGGTATGTAGCGCAAACTGTCTTGTCGGATCGGGACGCGCCAAAACGGGCGCCGATGTCAGAGCCTCCTTGAGCGACTGAAAAGCCGCCTCACATTCCGGCATCCAGACCAGCTGTTCCTCCTTCTTCAGCAGGTTCGTCAGCGGCTTGGCGAGGCAGGCAAAGCCCCGAATGAAGCGTCGATAATAAGAAGCTAGCCCTAGGAAGGCTCGAACCTGAGTGAGCGTGACCGGGGCCGGGGCTTCTCGGACCGCTGCTACCTTCCTGGGATCAGGTTTCAGTCCCTCGACCGTGACGATGTACCCCAAAAAGGAAATTTCAGGCAGAAAAAACTCGCTTTTCTCCAGAGCCACTTTGAAACCCGCATCTTTCAACGCATGCAGCACCCATTCGATATGTTCCACATGGTATTCGTATGTTTTGGAAAAGACCAAAATGTCATCCATGTACACAATCACACAAAAATTTATCAACGGTTGTATCAAACGGGTTTTGTTAACGAACTTGGCGAAGGCCATATTCATGGCCCTTCGGAACATTGCAGGGGCGTTGCAAATTCCCATGGGACACCGGATCCACTGCCACGTGCCCTCGAACAAGACAAAAGCGGTTTTGGGCCGGTCTTCCGGTCGGACTGTGACGTGGTGAAAACCGTGTCAGATATCGAACTTCGAAAAGACCCGAGCGGACCCGATAGCATCCAGCAGATCGTCAATCCGCGGCAGCGGATAGACATCTTTGGTAGTAATAGCGTTTAATTTGCGGTAGTCAATACACACTCGGATCGAGCCGTTTCGTTTTGGCACGAGAACCACGGGAAATGACCATGGTCCAAGCGATGGTTCAATCCACCCCAACCGCTCGAACTCCCGTACCCTTTCCAAGGCCAACTGTCTTTCTTTTAGGGAATAGCGGTACAGTCGGCAATGTATCGGGGCGCGATCACCGGTATCAATCGCGTGTTGGATCAGGTGGGTAAGTCCTATATCATGGTCCTGGATGCCGACGGCCTCAGGGTAGGACCGTATAACCGCCAGAAGAAGGCGCTTGTAGTCGTCAGGCACACGGGCCGGCAACCGGACTTCCACGTTTCCGTTAGGGAGGGAGATCGTCGATGTAACCGTGGGGACTGCCGCGTTGGCTTTGGGTGAGCACGGTCGCGATGAGTTGACTGTCTGCTGGGCTTATCGATTCGTTTTCCATGTCACTGTCGTTCTCGAGCTCGGTTTCAGTCGAGGGTTCCACTGAAAAGGCCTCTAACAGCTCCTTCGACCTCCATCGATATTTCCTCGTTCGGGGTTGAAACGACACCCCTTCCTTCAAGAGCAGGGCGACTTTTGCGTTCGTAAGTAGGGGCCTGGGAGGCCGAAAAGTCAAATCGCACAACCCCCTAAGCTCCGTAAACCTTTCGGGTAGGGGGTCCGTCCTAAGATATAAGGACGCAAGGGGTTCCGAAAGGTCAGTTATTCGCGACACCCTCAGCAGGGGTTCTCCCTGCACCACGGAGGAGAACGCGTGCGACCAATCGGACTCGCTCCGAATTATTTCCATGGGTTCTCGTCGCCAGGAATGGCGCCACCGATCCTGAACCCGGATCGGATATCGGTCGGGTACATCAGTCACGTCAGTTTCCAATGAAGTTTCGTTTTCGCTTGGTGACAGGCGTTGGATCATATTGATTTGATGGGCTTTTGTAGCGATTCGAGGCGCCGGCTGGGTGCGCATACGCACCGCTAATCTCATCAGTATCTTTTGTGGTTTGGGGTGGGCCGATGTGAGCACCACCTTACAGCTGTCAAAGTGCATTCGCGCTCCGACCGCCGCCTGCCACGGAATGCCTAGCAGAACATCATACGCCTACACATCCAGTACGATTGCGTCGCACAAACAATGCACCCGCCCCACTCGTATAGGCACGTTCGTTATCCGCCCCTTACAATGAATGTTGTCCTCCGTAGCGGATATATACAGTTCATCCGGTCGGAGGGGCTGAATCTGTCCTTCCCTTCCCAATCGTTTCGTCAATCTCCAAGAAATGGCGACCGCTGACGATCCCAAATCTAGGATGGCGGTCGCGGGGTTTCCCCAGACCTCGCAGTCATACTCAACATTTTTCCAGGTTATAGGGTAGGCTCGGAGGAATACCTCAGGTTTTTCCGAGGTGGGATCTACGGTCTGGATCATTCCTACCCGGTTTGCTTCGTGCACCTTTGAGGTCGAGGGCTGTGACTCTTCGTTTGTGGGTAGGTCTCGTAGGACCGACTTTTTGCCCTTTCGACTTTCCTGGAACCGGCGCCTGTTCTTGAGGCATCGTTCGATCAACTTTTCGTTAGCCGCTTCGAAAATGGTTAGCAGATAGGGAATAGGGACGGGGATCAGTAGATCCAGAGCCTTCAAGGCATCCAACACATCGGTGTGACCGTCTTTGTACTCAGGGCCAGGGGCCGTGAGATCTTCGAACCCCGGCCGCCAAGGCCCGAGGTCGTTTTCCTCGGTAATCCTTTGGACGTGACGTATCACTCCAATGGTCCCGGGTTCCAACATCGCCACAACCATATACTCATCTGGTCCTATCTCAGTGGCCGCAGGGGTCACCATTTCCGTTGTTCCAGTATCCATCACCGTGACCACCCTCCCTTGTCCTGCAGTGGTTGGAGCAGCTAACGGGATTTGGGAAGGTCCGGTGGGCCCCGCGGGCGCATTCTGAGTTCGAGGTCTCGGACGGTCTTTCGCAAGGTGGCCCGGCTGATTGCAGTTGTAGCACCGCAGAGGCTGGGCGACTCCTTCTGCGGCTGGTCGGGTCATAGGGGTACCAGCGGTCATGGCAGTTTGCTGTCGTTGCGCAGCTGCCACCCGTTGCCGCTGCAATTTTTGAACGAATTCCTTCAGCGGGGCCACTACCGTGACCAGCTGGGCCGTGACCTCTTTCATTGATATTTCGTCCTCGTCCCGGCCTCCTTGAGCTTGACCAGAGCGTCGGGAGGTCAACGCGGAAGACGAACTTTTCCGATCCGAACTCTTCTTTGTCGGTCCTAACCCGAAGCGATCGTCGAACATTCGCGCCGTAGCGGAGTAGCTATGGCGTCGGACACCTGAAGGGTCGTCTTCGTCGGACTCCGAATCCAGACCTACATTGTAATTTTCCTTCCCATATTTAATGGCATACTGAATGAGCTCAGTCAGGGTATGTTCTATCGGATTGCATTTCTTGCGGATCTTCTTCCGCAAGCGAGAATCGGACAGTCCCCTAACGAAATCAGTCCGCACCATCTTTTCATCGACCCCGGAACGTTCGGCTAAGTAAGTAAAACGCTCTGCATATCTGGCCAAGGTTTCCCGAGGCTGCTGCGTATATTCTTTTATCAGACGAAGGCACTGTCCAGGTGCGATGTGATCAAAACGCTCGAGAAACTTTCATTGGAAGGTTAGCCAATTAGTGTAGGGGTTCTGCCCATACCACTCAAAGCGGTTCCGGCTAACCTCCCCGGGATTCATTCTCGGAGCAACTGGTCCGACCAGCCCTGGGCTTTCAAGGCGGCTAGCCAGGTGCGAGGGTCGGTTTCATCCTCGGAAAAGATGGGAACCTCGGAGGGATGAGGTATAAAATACAGGGGATGATTGACCATCACCGCGTGCTTATCACCGCCGTTTCCACCCCCAATTCCGGGTTCCACCATCGAGGGAGGCGGATCTCGAGCCCGGCCTCTCGCTCGGTTCTGGTTGCTTTTCGCGGGCCGGCGTCGACGGAGAGCCAGCCTACTCAAAATGACAGAAATCTAAGAATAAAAAGATCAAAAAGGAAAAACTCCTACTCTGATACCAACCTCACGCCCCGTCGTGGCTTTCCGTACTGGGTCGCCGATCAGAGTAGAAGGGGGCGTGGCCGAGGATTTTCGGCCATGGCGGTTGAGTCTCCCAGTAGGAATGGGAGTCTCTCGTTTCGGGGCCGATAGGTTTCCCCCGACTGGGGCTCGATCCTTGGTCAGAATTACCAAAAACAAAAGGGGAGGAGAATGGGGTGAACGGACGGGTCCGACCCGGTTTCTCTAGCTGGGGAAAAAGGAGAGGGACGGAGGACCTATTCCTCGTCGGACCTGTTCGGCAAGGGGTGATGGATTCCCCCGCGCAGATTCTCAATCCTCGTCGTCGGGTTCGTCGAGGCCTCGAGGACTCACGACCGTGGGAACTCGGCGGGCGGGGGCTGTCGCCGCAGTCGAGGTACGAAAATAGTGTCGGGCGGCTCTAGCCCTGTGCCGCCCTTTACTTCTCTTCCAAGGGCGTGCATCAAGGTTTTTAATTGTTGGCTTTTACCTGATTGAAGCTCACCGGCCCTGGGAACAATGCTGCGACAAGTTGACCAGGCGGGCGACGAACTACGATATCCGGTTCGAGCAGAGAACAAGCGATGAACAACGGTACCTTTGCAGAAAGAGCCCAAGACGTAAGCCATTGGCAAGCACAAGGAAGCTGCCACAGCGGGCAATTACCGAGGGGTCGGACAAAGGGGCGCGACCACGGAAGGTTGGAATGATGCTGAATGTCAGCTGAAAGGTCAAGGGAATGGGGGCGCCAGGCACTGGCAGTGAAGCCACTGATACCTTAAGCGACGATGTCGACTAAGACTACGTTGAGCAGCCGAATTCCAAAGAACACCCTGCGACGACAACCAGTCGTGCAGGCCCACGCGGGGGCCCTGGATACTAAAAGAAAAAGGGCGCGGGCTTGGAGCCCAGAAATGAGCCTTCCGGGTCAGCGTTTTGGCAGGCCGAGTGATTTTCCCAAGGGGGGGGGCTGGTACCGCTAAAGAGTGGGGACCACCAAGGCCGAAGGAGGCCGCGGCAGGCTCGGGAGTAGGTCCGGTACCGGGACGCTGCAAAAGGCCCGGTTCCCGACAAAAGGGCCCCCCTCAACAAAAACTGTTCGGGGGCCTAATCAGGCCCGGGCGCACGTTCGGTACCGAGGCGCTGCAACAGCAGTAGGCCCACGCCGACACTTTGGGACCGGAAGCTGGCTGAGGCCGGGAGCTCCAAACCTTATAAGCCCAACAGGGCTCATGTTAGGGACTTTTTCTCGCATGCAAAAACGGGAGACACGCACGGAGCCTGCACGTGTGACAGACGCACGAGCAGGAACAGACGCTCGGGAAGACACGCCAGGAGGGACATACGAAGGGGAACCGCGCGTCACATCGCGGGCATCTGCCCGCCATCGCCCATCCCAAGGGGCAGCAGACCGGAACGGGGAGAGGCCGCCCATCACTGCGCGCGCACCTGAGCGCCATCGCTTGCACGCGCGCCTGCGGGATAGGGTGTGAGAGCACGCCCGAGTACGTGGACGCATATCCACGCACGGTAGGAGAGAGAACGGCAGCTAGGTAAGTATGTCTGTGCGCAGCCACGCGCGGTGAAGGGAGGCAGCAGGCGCGTGCTCACTCGCATACTCGCGCACGATCTCTCGCGCGGGGAAGGCAGCAGGCGCGTACTTACGTGCACACACGCGCACGGTCTCGCGCACGGAGAAGGTAGCAAGCGCTTATGCCGCGCAAGGGGCAGGTAATAGGTGCACACACTTGCGCACACACGCGCACGGTCTCACGCTCGGGGAAACTCGCACGGACAGGCGCCCGGAAATTCGAACGTACATGGCGGAGGCGCACTGAAAGAGAGGGGCGTACAAGCACCGAACTCCCCGACGCGCCAATTGAGAGATGCACGCGACAGCTCCCACGCAAACGAACTAAAACACGCACGGGGAAGAGAAGGGGCGAACTGCAATGCGCACAAGGTAGGAGCTTGGACGAACACTGGCAGAAGGGGCGTGAACGAGAGGGACGCACGGAGGATCTCGCGCAGACACTCGGGGATACGGACGACAACGGTGCGCGGAGAGACTGTAGATGTGCAACACACCGGCGCAAGTCCACGTGTCACCGCTCATCTGCGGAATCTGACCAAGAGGCTTTGTGCCTTTTGCGTGCACGGCGGCTTACAATCGGGTAAGGGTCGAAGAGACGCGCGCGTACTGGTACGTATTTTGCGCGCATACGCGCGCATGCTTCCGCACACCCATACGAATCCGCGCACCAGCTGTACGCACTCGCGCACATCCGTGGTGCACACGCGCACACTCGCGCATGTTCGCGAGTACACGCCCGCACACCCGAGCTCGCTCACGTACAGGGGCTGACGCACCTAGGCTATTACACACTCGGACAACGACAGGGGAGAACAGCGCTTTGCTCCGCGCATGCGCTCATTGCGCACCTGCCCACCGATAAGGGAAGTCGAACCGCCTATGTACACTCACGCACAGTAAAAAACAAAAATAAAAATTTATATGTCATGAATCATGATTATTGGTTATGTCATTTTATCATTGTCCAAATCAAGACCAACATTGTGAATTGCATGGCGTCACCGCTAGCACTGATGGGAGTGTTTAAAATTAAAAAAATAAAACAAAAAAAAATTGAATGTTTTTTCGCTTTTAAATCCCTGCCCATGTCATGATTAATGGTTATCTCATTCTATCAATGTCCAAAAACATCAGGACCAAAACAATTATGGGATAGTACACTTTCCATCTTCACATCCACTTACTTACTAGTATAATCTCGCAACACCGATCACCACACCACACCAATCTCACAGCCTGCACGAAGGCACAGGCACTAGTAGTACTTTCAATCATCCCATTCAATGATGTCTGTTCATCTCCATACACACACTAGTATGGTCCATCACACATGATCTGCATATACATCATAATTCTACCACCCACAGTCCCGGGATTTCACACAGGATTGCACACAATGGGAATCCCCCTACAGGTCGAAGACTTAGGATAGATAGTACATATACGGCGAAAGGGCTCGCAGCTTTAAGTTACACCTTTGCATTGGTACAAACAAATACACCAGTTAACATTCCGTCAACTTACAGCATCTCCACCGTACACACAGACTCATGCACAGTCCACTACGTAAGTTACGCTTCCTACGCTTCGAGGAGCGACGATCGGCTATAGCCCGCACACTTTCGATATAAAAGGATTATAGATGTAGGCATAAGCATAGGAAGGCGATTTAAATTTAGGAAGATGTATTGTAAGAGAGGCAAGGGTATCGGCCTCTTTCGACAGAAGTTCTCGTGTAGAGCGCACCTTCCTGATGAGTCCGCGTGGTGGGGGGACGAAACCGGTCGAGGGTTTCACTTTGTTGTTTCCCGGGAGAACTAGCTACGGTCGCGCGAGGAGAGAGGCATGCGTGAAGTGGGAATTTTGTTTTTTTTTATTTGAGCTCTATGAAACAGTTTTCGTGATTTGCCATGATGATGTTTCTATGAGTTTATTTGAAGGCTTCCATTTGCCTCTAAGTTTGCCTGCTATTCTGCTGCACTACTGTTGTGTCTCCCTACAGGCTGTCGCCGCAGTCTGCCTACACCTACTCACACAGCAGGCTTGTTCAAAGGTAGTACTACAGACAGACAATTGGAAATCCCCAAGGAGGACAGAGTGGCAACAACACACACACAGAAAGGACACAGATCATAGAACACTGGGCCGCCTATCGATGCAGCCAACACATATACACAAATTCTCAATTTTCATATAGGGACGCTGGACCCGATTTCCAGCAGGTGGTGGTCCCCACCAATAAAGATGGAGCCTTCCCGGGAGTGCTAGTGGTGCCTGCTCCTATCAGCACCCCTTGCATCACCTAGGGTTGTTTCTCATCAAAAAAAAAAAAAAAAAAAAAAAAACACCAAAATTGTGAATTGCATGGCATCTGGAACGTTTTTTTTTGCTTTGAAATCCCTCCCCTCGCCTCCCGCCCCCCTCTTTTTCCCTAAACATCATTTGCAAGGACTCAATCTTCACCGATTCTTCGGGATGTTATTCCTCAAGACCGAAAAAAGAAAAGAAAAGAAAAAAAAAAAGACATTTTGGCAGATTGATGCCTCTGTTTCTATTGGTGGAGAACTGCACCTGCTGGAGACCTTGTCCAGCGTCCCATCCTACATTCATGATACATGATACAGTATCGTGTATGCTTTAGTACATTTAAATTTCCTCTTTTTTTTTTCTTTTTTCTTTTTTTAATTTCGTAATGTCAGGTGACCTAGTACGTGGGTATATGCTTGGGAAAGGTGACTTATATCTCGCTCATCGTTTTTTTTTTGTTTTTTTTTTTTAACTTATATCTCGCTCATCTAAGTTCTGTCGGTGCATCAAATACTGAAAAAACAAAAAATAAAGAGAGATAATGACTGTGCGCCGTGTGCGTTCTATCTTTTTTTTTTTTTCCGCTTCTCTCTCGAGATTGTGCGTTCTATTTTGGGGGAAAGGAAAAGGAGTACGGTCACTTCTTTTTTTTTTCGGGCCAGAGTGTCGTATGATCCAGGCACTCCGGCCCGGTTCATACGACGGCCGCTTTTGAATTATACCAACCGGA